GCCCTTAATTTGGTGGTGATTTTTGTGTCAAAAAGTAGTACCGCCACAAAAGAATGAAATTGGCTACTAATTTTAAGTTGAAGGACTAAAAACATCTAAATAAAAAATGAAGGATGAAATTGATTTAAGTAAAAAAGTTTGAGGATTAAATTAGCCATTTTCCCAAAATATTCTATATCTCACCAAATGACAATGTCTAAGAACTTACCAATAGGAAAAAAATGATAATTTTGAGACCTCAAATGACAATGTCTAAGAACTTACCAACAGGAAAAAATGAAAAATGAAAAGAATTCATGAATACATTTTATTTTTATGATTTGTTTCTTTGCCGTAGACACCTTTTACCACAATAATTCTATCAATAGATTAAATTATTTGGAAGATTTAATGTCATTTGACTATCAACATTTCCATCATTTTCTATAGCTCATCTTTCGAGTAAAAAGATTATGCATAGAAAAACATTTCCAAGTCTGTTTGGATAGAGTGTTATTTAAAATATTATTTTAAATAATTACCGTAACAGTTTTTATGATGTAATGTATGTAAGATAAAAAAGTGGTTGAAAATATAAAAATATGGGTTGAAAATGTAAAAATATGGGTTAGAAATTGTGTTTATGATACAAGTAAAATATTATTTGTAAAAATTTGCTATCCAGATTTTCCTCAAGATTTTCAAGTTTTTGGTTAATAAAAAAGTTGAAAAATGGACCTGGCTACGCATGGCAATCACTTATGGCTTGCTGCTTTTGTCATTGGTGCGTACCTTTTGGAACCCAAAATTAAAAATAGTGATAATAATAATAAGGGATAATTGCAGAAACCTCCCCTAAGATTTTTGACATTTGCACAGACCTCCCCTCTAGATTTAGAAATTGCATTTACCTCCCCTGAACAGTAACAATTCATTGTAGAAACCTCCCTGACAGCTTGATGTCTCATTAAAAAATTATTTGTAGAAGTGAGATAAAACATTTCTTCCAATTTTGCCCTCATCTTGCTTGACAATTATTATTTGCTTGACAATTGCTTAACTAATTATCTAATTAGTTAATAGTTAAGCTAATTAACTATTAACTAATTATCTAATTAACTATTAACTAATTAACTAATTAATTAATTAACTAATTAATTAATTAACTAATTAACTAATTAACTAATTAACTAATTAACTAATTAATTAATTAACTAATTAACTAATTAATTAATTAACTAATTAATTAATTAACTAATTAACTAATTAATTAATTAACTAATTAATTAATTAACTAATTAACTAATTAATTAATTAACTAATTAACTAATTATCTAATTAATTAATTAACTAATTAACTAATTTCTATTTATCTAATTTACTAATTTACTAATTATCTAATTAACTAAAACTGTTGTTTGTCTGAAACTAACAAACTATTTGCATGTTAAACTAATTAACTGCTTAACTAATTAACTGATTAACAGACTATTTGCATGTTAAATTATATGCAGTACGCATTACCTATTTAAAGTATCGGCTCTTTATGGGTATTTTACTTTCAAATATTTAATTTATGATAAAAACATCAATGTTTATAAATAAAATTCAAAAAGTGTTACAGTAATATTCTTACAAAAAATGGATGGCATAGGGCCATAAATTAAATATTTGAAAGTAAGAATATTGATATTTTTTGTAACACTTTTTGAATTTTACTTACAAATATTGATATTTTTATCATAAATTAAATGTTTGAAAGTAAAATACCCATAAGGAGCCGATACTTTAAATAAGTAATGCGTACTGCATATAGTTTAACATGCAAATAGTCTGTTAATCAGTTAATTAGTTAAGCAGTTAATTAGTTAATTAGTTTAACATGCAAATAGTTTGTTAGTTTCAGACAAACAACAGTTTTAGTTAATTAGATAATTAGTAAATTAGATAAATAGAAATTAGTTAATTAGTTAATTAGTTAATTAGATAATTAGTTAGTTAATTAGTTAAGCAGTTAATTAGTTTATTAGTTTAACATGCAAATAGTTTATTAGTTTCGGATAGACAACAGCTTTAGTTAATTAGATAATTAGACAATTAGTTAATTAGATAAACAACAATTAGTTAATTAGTTAATTAATTAATTAGATAATTAGTTAGTTAATTAGTTAAGTAGTTAATTAGTTTAACATGCAAATAGTTTGTTAGTTTCGGTCAAACAACAGTTTTAGTTAATTAGATAATTATTTAATTAGTTAATTAGATAAATAGAAATTATTAGTTAATAGTTAATTAGATAATTAGTTAATAGTTAATTAGTTTAACTATGCAGAAATAGTTTGATTAGTTATTAACTATTAACAATTAGATAATTAGTTATTAGTTTAACTCTGAAGAAATAGTTTGATTAGTTAATTAGTTAATTAGATAATTAATTAATTAGATAAAATAGAAATTAGATAATTAGTTAATTAGTTAATTAATTTAACTATGCAGAAATAGTTTGATTAGTTTAACAAATAAAACGTTGGTTTTGATGAAAGTACTCAAACCTTTCATTTGGTAAAGTCAAATCCAATAGGGGTACTCTAGTAATTTCACACACTTTTACCTTTTAAATTAGTTCCAACTTTTTTTAGGGGAGGTTAATGCAATTTCAAAATTGATAGGGGAGGTCAGTGAAAATGTCAGAAATCTCAAGGGAGGTTTCTGCAATTATCCCTAATAATAATCAATGCATACCATTTCATTGGAGAAGGGGCTTAGTACAAGTATGATTTTCGTACAATTGTGTGGCTGTTATACATTCTACATAATTTAGTGTATACTTATATATCTTTGTTGTACGCATAATTTCTGTTCTTGTACACCAATTCAATAATTTAATACGATCACAATTATAAAAACATACAATACCTTTTGAAAAAGTATAATTACCGTCTAATTGTACTAAACCCTTCTCTCTATTTCATCAAGTACGAACTTTATCGGTTTAATTTTTATTTACACATGTCAACTATGTTAAATTCTCATTTTGGTCCCTAAACTTCAAAATGAAATAATTTAATCCATAAAATATAAAATCTACTTCACTTCTAACCTTAAAGGATCCAATTTATTCCATTTTAATCCCTAAATTATAAAATCTGTCCCATTTTAGTATTAAAAGCTATCCCACTTCTTCTAAAAATTTTACTTTCTTTTTGAAATATTCTAAATATTTTATTTAAGTGGGACAAATTTTATATTTTGCACCCCTCCCCTTTAAATTAAAAAAAAGAAACTATAATATCCCATTTTGAAGTTTAGAAATTTGGATATAATTGAAGAGCTCAACTTAAAATTAACCCTACTTTTTTTAACTAGCCAAAATTCAGAAGTCAGAACATACAATTTCTCCATGATGTCTAATTCCCTTAAACTAAAACCCATGACTAAACCTAAGGGTGACAATCAGGTCGGGTTCAGGTTGGCGGGTCGGGTTGAGACCCAAATATAACAAAAAACCCGTTGACCCGAACCTGACCCGCCAACCCGAAACGGGTCAGGATACCTGACACGAACCCGAAAATTTCGGATTGGCGGGTCGACCCGAAATGACTCTAAACTTAATTTTAATTTATTAATTTATCACTGTAATTTCTAATAAAATCAATTTCTTACAAAATTAATTACATCATCAAGTAATAAAAATTTAAATAAATAATTTCAAACCAAATGTAAAATAAATTAAACACCGTAAAAGTGTTTTATCCCAAACCAAATATAAAATAAATTAAAATAGCATAAAAGTAAAAAATAATATAATATATTATTTGTCCAAATATGATAATTTCAACTTCACACAAGTTAAATAAATTCATTTAGGATTAAGTAATTAATGATTTAATGCCTTTGAAAAAAAAGAATTATTTAGTTTAGTTAGATCAAATAATTTTTATGTGTATTAAATTATTTTTAATTTGTAAACGGGTCATATCGAGTCATATCAGGTTATCACGGATTGACCCAAAATCGACCTGTTTTCTTTTCGGGTTCATCGGGGTTCGACCCGATTCTGACCCGAACATCAACCCAAACCCATTAATTTCGTGTTAGGTTCGTATCATATTTTCGGGTCGTGTCAGGAATTGCCACCCCTAACTAAACCCAAGTACAAATGCTATGAATACCATGCGAATAAACAAACCCAGACCCCATCGGATTCCTATACCCATTCCCGCATTCATACCCACACTCTCCCACCCAAACAGAAAAGGATAAAATAAAATAAACTAGATCAACTAAGGGTGGCAATCAGGTTGGGTTCGGGTTGGCGGGTCGGGTTGAGGCCCAAGTATAACAAAAAACCCGTTGACCCGAACCTGACCCACTAATCCGAAACGGGTCAGGATACCTGACACGAACCCGAAAATTTCGGGTTGGCGGGTCGACCCGAAATGACTCGAAATTTAATTTTAATGTATCACTGTAATTTCTAATAAAATCAATTTCTTACAAAATTAATTACATCATCAAGTAATAAAAATTTAAATAAATAATTTCAAACCAAATGTAAAATAAATTAAACACCGTAAAAGTGTTTTATCCCAAACCAAATATAAAATAAATTAAAATAGCATAAAAGTAAAAAATAAAATAATATATTATTTGTCCAAATATGATAATTTCAACTTCACACAAGTTAAATAAATTCATTTAAGATTAAGTAATTAATGATTTAATGCCTTTGAAAAAAAAGAATGATTTAGTTTAGTTAGATCAAATAATTTTTATGTGTATTAAATTATTTTTAATTTGTAAACGGGTCATATCGAGTCATATCAGGTTATCACGGGTTGATCCAAAATCGACCTGTTTTCTTTTCGGGTTCATCGGGTTCCACCCGATTCTGACCCGAACCTCCCAAATCCATTAATTTTGTGTTAGATTCGCTGTCATGTTTTCGGGTCGTGTCAGGAATTGCCACCCCTAAGATCAACCAGGGAAGCATCGATCTGCATCCTTCCCGCCAATTCTAGAAACCAAGTGGGTCCTCCTTCCATCTTCCCCAAAAATACGAAAAATGGAAAAAGGCCCCGTCTGAAAATTGACTTCGAAAATCCTTCCCAGTTCCATAACCAGCCATGATTTCACAAGCCCTCTCATCATCCTTCCTTCCCTCATCCATTACCCGCCCCACGTCCCCTTTTCTCCCCACCCACTGGATTTTGTCCTCCCTGAGCCTCCACCACTACTACCCAGCTGCCGTCTCTTGGGCCTCTCCCGCCACCACTACTCGTTTTTTCATGGGTTTGTACTATAATCCCATTTTCTTGTTAATCATGTTTTCTCCTTTTCTTTTTTTTTTTGTTGTTGTGGGATTAATCTCATTTTCTCGTTAATTTTTTTTGGGATTAATCCCATTTTATTGTTAAACATATCTTTTTTGCTTTAATTGTGATTTTGGAAGCTGTAAATTGCTATTGATAGTTGGTTTCTAATGGCTGTAATTTTCTGTTACAGCTTCTGCGTTAGGTGGTGGTGGTGGCGGCGGCTCCACCAGCCGAGGGTTCTGGGAGTGGATTAGACCATCACCGGGGTTTTACGTTTCGCCATTTGCTGTGGTTTGCGTATTATTGGTACATCCTAGATTCTTAGAATTTTTTTTTTATTAGTATTCAGTTAAGTCTTTCGTATATGGATAGAATCTGTAACACTAGTTGGTGTAGTAGGTGTAGATACATGCTACCGCCACACGCACAAACAGAGAATTTCAAATTGGAATGGATATTACGTGTCGTTGCCAAGCATTATGCCGTGGATTAATCCTTACTAATATGGTAGTATCTATGAAGAAAAATGTCTTTTTTTAAAAAAATAAAATAAAATAAATTTCAGGGCATTTGCGTTGTGAACAAGAAGATCTTCTTGTGGCTGGTTTGGAATTGGTTTCGAGCTGTTGTTTTGGGCATATTGGCAATTGCTCTTCTAGACAACCCAATGACGGCTTTAATCTCCGCTTTAGCTGCTATTGTAGCTGCTGTGAGTGTAGCACTATGGTTTTGTTTTCCTATTTTATTTGATTGCTTATCCTTTTTGGCCCGATTGTAAGGCTTGGTTATTCCCCGGTTTTTTGAATTTCTCAGATTCAGCTTTTGCTTGCTCGGAGTCAGAGAGCTTGATGACGTAGGATGAAGATCAAGAATTTTTTCTTGTATGCTTGTACATATTGCTTCTAGACTAGTGATGACAAGAGCTGTAGGTTTAGGTATTGCCTTCTTGATGGATGAGGTATACTCTTTTAGAAAATTACCAAATTGGAATTAGGGATCGGCTGAAAATGACATATGTTGTTCTTAAAATGTTATTATCACCTTGATTTTTGGCACAGTTGTCTGACAGACTTTCACAGGTTTGTTGAATGCATATTCTGCATGTGTGCTTACGAGTTGTGATAGGATGAGAATAGTTGAAATCCTATATCTCTTTCTGTCCATATTTTTTTCCATATTACAGTGATTTTATGTTCACAAGATGAGGTGGCAATATGTGATCTTTGAATATGTTGAATTGACTGGAATTGGGAGATGTCTTATATAAAGGAATTAAAGATTACTGATGCTTTCTTTGACAAGTTTGAATCTAGGACTGTGATTTGGAAGAGAGATGCGAGAGAAGAAGGTAGTCCCAGTGTCTCATTGTCTAAGGTAGCAGACACACAGGAGGTATGGGGGTGGGACTTGGGAATGCCTTTTTTTTTTTTAAATTCTTTTTGTGGGGAGTGGGTAGTCATATTTGCACTTGCTGTCCAAGATTTTCCCTGGTTTGTATTGCACAAGGTAATGGAGTTTTATTTTAGGCGTTTAGTCTGTGTATTATGTCATCATTATGTTTCAGGTGTCATTTCCAAGTTCTAGCTGTTTTAAACCCGCTTCATAATTAGATTCACAAGCCCTGAATCTTCTTGTAAGTTGATTTCCAAAATATTTAGTCATACCATCACTTTGTATCTCTAAGATTTTTACTGTTTTCTTTGCTTTAATTTCCTTTTATCTTTTTTTTTGGCAGCTATTTCTTGCAGTATTATCCCTCAAGTTATTGCTAATCCTAAGATGTATATGCTATTTTTCCTAAAGAAGCGCATTTGTAGTTGTTAAGTGATACATTACTGCATTAGGTGTGTTCCCTTCGCATCCTTCATACATTTCTTAAGGTCCGTTGCCAGTTAGTAGATAAGGTTGGACTACTTTCATAACCTATAGGTGTCCCATTTCACAAGATATATGTTCAATGTAGCGTACAGTTGTATCAACATACACGTAAACTATTTGCTACTACTCAGGCATCTCAATGTAGTGGTTACAGCAACTTATAAAAGAATGTTGCCTTATGATGCAAAATAAGTAGGATTGTGCCCCTGCAACCACGTAAACATTTCAAAGTTTATAGCACAAGTACCTCTGCTGAATTTGTATATACTGCTTAATGTCATTTGCTCTCTGTCTATTCCCATGGAGAGATATGAACAGTTGGCTCTCTGCCTAGCACAGAGATTTGATGGATTATGTTGTGGACCAGTATGTTTGACATCTTTCTACATGGTGCTAAAGATAATAGTATCAGCTGTTAAGACAAACTGCAGCACAGCACTAGGAGCTAATAAGATTCAGCTATATCAAGGCATCAAACACTGCTATTTCTGTAGTTTTTGCTGTGCCTTATCTTCATGTTTTTCTTTTAGTTTTGTAAAATATGAGCTTATATAAGCATGGATTGCACTTGTGCATAGTGTGCCAGTGCATTTTCTTGTGGAGAACAAGGTTATGCAGCTCATTGTCTTACCATGCATGTGTCTGCTGGACTTTGATCTGTTTTCACAGTGTAACTTGTAGAACCAAGATGTGAAACACATGCACAGGATTAGACTGTCTTGACACAGGAAACTTGCTTAGAACTCATCATTTTCTTGAAGGTAGAAAGTTTTTGTGCTACCCAACTTAACCCAGATCGTGGTGTTGGAAGAAATTCTTGAAGTTGAGTTTAGGCCAATAACTAGAAGTTCTAGAAATTGATCATTATTAATGGGCAGCCGTGGAAATGTTTGGTGGCCTCCTTTAGGATCGCTTAGAGAGAAAATCTCTTCTCAGTTGCTGTTCCTTTTGAGTTCTAAGACTGGAAAAATGTCAGTTATCATTAGAGATGAAATATGCGAATGGCCAAGTGGGAGAAGAAGGGTACATAATTGTTACAATTAATTGAAGCTACCACCTCTTATTTTTTTTACCCCTTCCTGGTTCAAATGATTCTGTTACATGGACTTTGGACCCCACAGGTATCTACTCTGCTAATTTAACTATAAAGCACATAGTTGTACCTGGTTCTTGCATCTAAATTTTCTTGGTATCATGTAGTGCGAGGTAGAAAACACAATACTAGTGGTTCTCCTTTATATTGTGGTTTGCTTGCAGGGAAAGATTGACTACCTAGGATAGACTGCATTCAGGGGTTATGGAGATTAATCCAATCTGTAGGTGTGCATGAGTAAGTAGGGAACTATAAATGATCTGTTTTTCCTGTGTCCCTATTCAGCACAAATTTGGGAAGCTGTGCAAAGGAAATGTTCGTTGTTTAGGCAGGCTGGTGATTGGGATGTTAAATTTGGATGGATGATCAAACATGCTGCTCAGAAGTCTTTTTTTGGTAGTCTTCATCAACTAGCTTTTGCTGCAACAGTATATCACCTATGTGTAGGGGAACAACCAAATATTGGTCATGGTGCTCAAGGACATGCATGGATCATAGCAGGTTGAAAGAATATATTAAAAAGAAGCAGAAGATATTCAGCTTCAAATGGAAGTGAATTTTCTTACTTTGTACTTTCCGGAGTTAAGTTTCCCTGAGTTGATTTTGTTAGCTGATTTTTTTGATACTCAATATACCTGTAAAGTTATATAGACCTGTACATAGCTTAGCTGGTATTGGCTTTTTTTTTTTTCTTTTTAAAAGTATAGGTTAAAATGTAAAATTACAGTTATTCCTTGACTGGTATGTATGTTCCTTGACTTGTGCAAGTTTCTGAGGATCAGTAATACGATAATAAGGCATGCAGAAGTAAATATGTTTAAATCTTTAGAGCTTACAGAAGTAAACAGGCATACATAATGCACTGTTTACTGGATTAATTCTTACTCTTGTTCTTGTTTTGCTTATTGTCCTTTTATTTTTCTAAAAAAAGTTGCAGGCATTTTGTCTGAACACTTGTGTTGATCTACAAAATAAAAGGCCTAGGACCTCCATTTCTGTTCTTATCTTGTCTACTGCCTTGATTAATTTGTATTTTTAAAATATGCGAGCCTAAAATTTTTCGAAAAAAGTAATTTACTATATCTGTACCTAAATTTCCCCTTTTTAGGGTATGTTATCATGTCCAAATTTTCATGTGCTAAGGTCCTTGAAGGGCTTATATTCTTCTTTCTTGTCACTGCTGGTTGTCTCACATATTGCTTATTTGTTACTATAGCGATGCTAGCCCTGTGGTTTCTCCTTGAAGGGTCTGCTATCTTCAATTATACGATGTTTCAGTTATGTGACTGATATTGCACTGTCTTCATAACTCTCGTAAAACATGTCCAAATTGAACCCGAGCGTGCAACATATATCACTAGGAATGGAAGAAGTTTGTCCAAGAATTTGGGAAACATGTCCAATTTCTTAAGATAGATTCAGTACCTCAATTGTACAAAGCCCATTATACAAGAAAATTTTTATACAAGAAATTTTCAAAGAAACAGGAAGCATATATAATAATAAAGCTACAAAGCAAACCAAATTAGCACTTTAGAAGATCAGTCTCTTCTTCATCGCCTTTCACAACTGTAATCTGCAGGTGCTCGGGCTTAATATAAGCTTTTCATTCAAATAATTAAGCTTCCAGAACCTTGACAAAAATAAGAAGAACACCCTGTAATGCTTCAAAATGGGATTAATATCCGTACAATTAGTAGTATAGGCCACAAAGAAGGCTAGGGTGCTGTAATTGTTCCAATAGTCGAAATTCAGAGATGCTGAAAAATGAATTTGCAGACAAAGAAAAGTTTGGATGGGTTCGGTTCTGGTCACTATCATGGGTCAAGACATGTTCTTGGAACCATAGGTCGCTTAAAGGGGTTTTTACAGATTGTTCACCAACGCAGTTCTCATATCGACAGTGAAATTCGAACACATGACCTTTTATGAAGAAGTAACCCATCTTTACCAATTAAACCAACCGGTGTTGGTGAAAAAATGGGTAATGATCATGCCTGCTGTGGCACATTTCAAAACCTGCGAGGAAGAGGAGGAGTGGATGAATAGTTACTAACTTGTATGAACACCAAAGCATTGTTCCACGGGAAAAACGTCAATCCGTGACTATGTGGATCAGTTAACCTCCTTTCTAAAGATGAAGGGACAAAGAAATTGACAGCACTTCTTGTTGGGTATCTAGATGGCCTAACAAAAGAGTTGTCTATCATTTACTCCTGTAATATAACTACCATCAAGGCAAGATATTGTCTTAACAGAACAGGAACTTGTATGTTTTGTTGAGCTAAAAACTCCTATCTTGTCTGAGAAAGGTTTCATAAGATCACAGAAAATTAGTGAGATAGAAGAATTGAAGCATTCTTTATCTTAAGCATGCAGATAACTAGCTTGTAACGCTTATACACCAATCAATCCGATGAAAGACTCTTTCTAGCTTGCCACCTTTCATGTGTCGATAAGCATAATGAATTTACGCAAGGCAGAGTTAATTTGGAGTCGAGATAATTTAGACCTTAACGTCTACCTTTCTTTAATCCAAGACCTTATTTAGGAGGAGCAACGAGTGTTGGCTTCTTATTTTTTTTTTAATTTTATTTTATTGAGATTCATTGTATTGTACCTTACTTGCAATAGAGTATGTCAAGAGCGATTTTTTTTTTATTGTATTGTTATTTTTCCATCATAAACATTATATTTTAGATCTAATAATTATTAACTGGATAATACACAAAATTTAACAAACTCAAAAAATCAAAATGCATAAAAAATGAGATTTTTTATGAATTTTATAATTTTCTATTATATATTATTTTTTGAGATTGTTGTATTTATTTTTTATTTAGTTAATAGTTATTAGATCTCAAGAAAAACAAAAAAGATTCAATGAGGGATGAAAAAATTCATTTTGTAAAATGCGATGAATGAAAAAATTTATTTTGTGAAATGTGAAGGATGAAAAAATTCATTTTGTGAAATGTAAGGGACCATAAATCGGATTCTTAGAAATATGATTTGACAATTTTGCCTCTGAAAAATGATCACTTGCAATGTACGTGGTGGATTCCTGTTAAAAATTAGTTGAAAATTTAAATAAAGACCAAATTTGACCAATATAAATTTATAAGGGACGTAAAATTATATTTTTAAAAGTGAGGAATGAAAAAAATTATTTTATAAAATGTGAAGGACGTTTCGAATTTTTTTTCTAAAAAAAAAAATAACGTATAGATTTAAAATAAAAATTATTAAAAATTTAAGTTAATATTAAAAATTTAGAATTAAAATCAAATTTTATTTTATAAGGAACGTAAACATGTTAAAATGAAAAATTTATTTGACAAGTATGAGCGACGTTTTGAGTACTTTCCTTCTACATTTTTGCTTCGGCGAAAGAAATCGAGAAAAAAAAGCAAAGAAGAGAGAAAACCCTTGATGTCCAATGGCTGGCGGTCCTCGGGCGACGAAGGAGTCATCCCGATCATTGGAGGAGAAGGAGCCGGTGTCAAATTCGTCGGAGGAAGAGGAAGTGGAGCGAGGAGTTAATGTTAATGACCAAGTTGGGGAAGAAGACGCGGAGGAGCTCGAAGCCGTTGAGAGAACTGCCGACTATTCCGACGAAGAAGAAAATAATGCTGCCGCTAACCACGGTGGTGGTGAGCTGGACGACGAAGAGGAGGTAGTTGAATGGTTAATTTGTCTCTTGGTTATTTTGTTAATTTTTATTTTTGGTTAATTGATTGTTCATTAGTACAGCTGTAGAGTTTGCTTTGTGGAGTATGTGTGTCTTGGTTGGAGTTTGTTTTACCAATTTTTGTTTTGATTTTACGGTTTACTGCTGGTTGCCTCTGGTTGGTTGGATATTTTATTCCTTTGGCTTTTAGTTTGGATTTTGTGTTACTTTTATTTATTTATTTATTCTTTTTTTTTCTTGTGCAGATTGTTGTCTGGAAAGTTTGATCTGCTTGGGGAGTGTTTGCTGCATTTTGGTGCATTTTCTTTATATATGTGATGCAATGGGTTTTTTAGGAGATATATAGATAGTTGAAGTTTATTAGGAGTTTTATGGCTGTTTGGTTGCTGTGTTTACTTCCAGAAAGTGAAATGAATGGGAAATTTGAGGTCTTTTGAGCTACATCCTGCAGAGCTGTTTATGTGTTTATTTTATTTTATTTTTCTGAATTAAGAAATTTTTACTGCAGAATTTGCCCTAATTTTAGTGCTTATGGATCTTTATTTTTTAATATTGTCCAGTTTCAAACAAGTAAAAGATTCTCTCCTTCTTTTCTTTCTTTTTTTTTTTTGTGTTTGAGAGATTATTTGAATGGTTTTTGTTTGATAAATTTTACTATTGATATCTTGTCTTTCTTTTTTATTCTTTTGTTATTGTTTTGTGCAGAGGATGGCTTGCAAATGGGGGTTAGTAGTGGCAATTTTGATATCTTTATGTGCAATTTCAACTGGAAGAGGTAATTAATTTACGCAGTCAAGTTGATGCTGTGAAATTTTATTTAGGTAATTTGGCTGTTAACTAACTGTTGGAAGAATTTGAAGTTATAGGTTGCATAGTTTAGGTCATGGTTTAGGTTGAATTATGCTTTGAGTTAGAAGAAAATGTGAACGTGATTTCTTGAAGTTGTGCTTCTTTAAATGGGCTAGGGATTTTCCTCTAGAGAATCTAGAAATTTAACAAGAATGTTGAAGCATGAAGTTCTTCAAGGAGATATCTTTGCGCATAGTAATGTACTGCCATTGTCATGAGAGAGTGTGAATTTTAATTCATTCCTTTCGTTCCAGGTGAAAATTTGTGTCTTGAGTGCCATGAGGGTGGTTTAGATGAGACTAAGGTAGGTCTTGGTTTCAATAATGCTTTTCACTGTGTGTGCTTGAGTGAAGGGAACTGGATATACAAGTGTAATAAGAATGCCATAAGCACTTAATATTTTACAAGTGTATATTTCCTGAAATAATTTTGGAAAAGACTAAGCTAAAATGCTAAGTTTAGTAATGGGGATCTTTTTCTGTTTCTGTTCTTTTCTCGTGTTGTGTTGTTCTTAACCTTGAGTCATAAAATATGTGAACTTTTTGACTCACTTTGTTGTGGAAACTCTAATATCATTTATCTTTTGGTTTTTTTTGGATCAGAGCTTAAGGTCAAAATCAAGCATAAGGATCATCAGCCAGTGTACAGTCACACACTTGCAAGAGTATTGGCAGAATATGCTTCAGCAGTAAGTTTAGGCACAAATACAGAATCTCAACTCTATGTTTATGCAATAATTGTTTCATACCCAGTAGCTTTTACTTTTAGCATACATTGTATTGCTAAGATACTTTGTGGTTTAATTCTGAGAAATTCCATACCAACAATGTTTCTGAAGGAAAATTTCGCACTTGCAGGTCTACGTGTCAGATACAACACAATTATTTACTTGGACATGTGAAAGATGTAATGATCTCACCGAGGTACTTTATGAGCATGACCACCACTTTATGCTCGGCTGATTGACTAACGGAATTGCGGATTATTGATGCAATTTTTTTGGTGGCTAGTATCACAGTAATGGTCAATTTTGTGTCTAAGCAAAGAATTTTTCTATATTGGAGCAGGGTTTTGAAATGATAGAGCTGATTATTGATGTCCAATGCTGTCTCCAGGTGTGGTTTTACTGTATAATGGAATGAGGAAGGTGGATTGCATTCTAATTTAAACTGTTTGATCCAAGTCTTCTCCATTTCTTCCCTTGATGATGACATTTCCTTGTTTGGAAGCCAAGTTTTTTGCCAAGTTTGTTTGCTACA